GTGACGAAAAACCTGCGCCCGAGCCCACCCTTCCTCCCACAGCTCGGAATTAACTTAAAATTAATGCACTGAAAATAACTTACCAAAAATTAAATTCTGAAACAAACAAAAATTTATTAACACAGGAAATTGTGGGAGGAGGAGCAAAATTTTTCTTTATTTTATGCAAGAATTTCAAAAAATACAAAACGCAATGAAAATTGCGGATTTGAGAAGACAACAGAATTTACCAAAGAAGAAATACTAAAACAGACAAAAATTTATTAACACAGAAATTTGAGAAGGGAGAACATGTTAACTTACCAAAAAATAAAATCTGAAACATACAAAATTTTATTAACCAATAAAGTTGTACGAGAAGATGTGAAACAACCCTATCGAGAAATAAAAAAACACAATGAAAAATTCGAATTTAAAATCAATCAACAATAAAACAATTTATTCAAAATCAATTCCTGAAACAGAGAAAAATAATTAACACATAAAATTCGGGGAAATTAAAATCGCGAAGGGATATACAAATCTCGAGAAGCTCGAGATAAAATCGCGAAGGGATATAAAAATTTTTAATTTCGTAATTTAATCGTGAAGGGATGCAAAAATCTCTAATTTCGTACTGTAATCGCGAAAGGATGCAAAAATCTCTAATTTCGTACTATAATCGCGAAGTGATACAAAAATCTCTAATTTCGTGCTGTAATCGCGAAGGGATACAGAAATCTCTAATCTCGAAATTTAATTGGGCGGGTATAAAAATCTCGAATCGTGAAGGGATACAAAAATCTCTAATCTCAAAATTTAATCGCGAAGTTATGCAAAAATCTTTAATCTCGAAATTTAATTGGGAGGGCATAAAAATCGCGGGTGGCTTTGCTCGTAAAAATTCGAGCAAAACGATACATTTTGTATCGTTCAAAAAAATACATGTAAAATACAAAAAAATAATTAGCGAGCATAGTGACAAAATGACTCTCCATCCTAAGATGGACAGCCGTTAATAGTTCCCCTCTTCTTTGGCAACTTTGCCGGGGCTCTTCGGCATATAGCCTCTTCTCTCTTCGGCATAGCCTCACGAAAATCACTCGCGAAATTTTACGGTAACTCGGACATTCTTAGTTTTCAATTACATAAATTCTCAATTTTACTATCAATCTCCATAAACGGATAGCAGACAACTTTATAAAAATAAAATTGCACTACTATCCATTTATTTCGATCGATAACAAAATCGAAATTTTATGCAATATATAATAAGTTAGTTTGGTAGGAAAAATAATTACTCAAAATAAAAATACGAACAGCGATTCTTAAAACGCGTTGTCCGTAAAAGAATGTCCGAGTAGAATATTTTATTTTACTGCACTTCACTTCACTGTATACTTCATTTTTGCAGTCGGATCTAGAACCCGACTGCGACTTACAAACTAAAAGGCCTGGCCTGAACGAACAATCGAGTTCAAGAGATATTAAATAAATTTGCTCTTGCAACAAGTATTGGTATTCATATAACAAATCGGCTGCAAATGTAAAAAATAATAATAATCATAAATAAATTTAATAGTACTTTTATTATATATAATCTGTTGTATTATTTAACCCTTTTATTCTCTTTCCTGCAATTTTCTTCAGATTTATTTTTTTTTCTTTACTAGGGCCTAATGATACCTTATATTTCCTCAAAGTGTATACACTACTGAGGACTTCTACGGATAGCTTACTGCACATGCACTGGGACTGCCCAACACTAGTCGACAGTTGCATTCAAGTCAATTTTTGTTGATAGAGAACCACGTGCTTTTAAATTTGAACTATATCTATACTTACATTGAATATGACATCAAATGAAATGGAAGTAGATGAGGAGAATGAAGAGAAACCGAAGAATTTTCACGAATTAGAGTTAGATGACAGAATTTTAAAGGTAAAGAATTTCTAGGTGCTTTCAAGAATAAGGTTATGTTTTCGTGAAAAAGCAACTGCTTTCTCAGATGTCATTTAAATTTTATATACATGCTAATGTACATTTGCAATTTGCGTTTTTACATGACTTATAGATACATATTACAATGTTTTTTTAGGCTGTTGCTAAATTAGGTTGGCTTGAACCCACGTTAATACAAGAGAAAGCTATCCCACTGTTATTAGAAGGGAAAGATGTTTTAATTAGAGCTCGCACAGGATCTGGTAAAACAGCGGCATTTGCGATACCATTGATTCAAAAAATTTTGTTAAACAAAAGGGCACAGAAGAAGCAAGACATTAAGGGTCTAATTGTAGCTCCTAGCAAAGAACTATGCAAACAAATACACGATGTAATTATGAGTTTGACAATAAAATGCAGTAGAGAAGTAAATGTTGTTGATGTCAGTCCTCAATTAGAACTAATTGCACAAAAGCCACTATTAAATCAAAAGCCTGATATTGTGATTGGTACACCAAGCAGGCTGTTACAGCATTTAAAAGCAAATAACATGAAATTGAAACACTCTCTTGAAACATTAATAATTGATGAAGCTGATTTGGTAAGTTCTTTTAATTTAATGTACTGGTTTCACGTGTAATAACATTCTTTTTATATTACAGGTATTTTCATTTGGATATGAGGATGAAATAAAGAATTTGTTGAGTTATTTACCAACTGTGTACCAAGCAGCTTTAGCTTCTGCAACATTGTCAGAAGATGTTTTAACACTTAAAAAGTTGGTACTTCATCGTCCAGTAACTTTGAAATTAGAAGAGCCACCATTGGCTCCATTATCTCAGTTATCACATTACAGCCTTGCTGCAGAAGAAAATGATAAAGCTGCAATTTTATATGCACTGTTGAAATTGAACTTAGTTAGGTAAATATGATCATTAATATATTTGAGACAGAAGTATTTTAATAATGTGGAACATAATTTACAGAGGGAAGACTATAATATTTGTAAATACAGTAGATAGATGTTATAAATTGAAGTTATTTTTGGAACAATTTGGCATACCTACTTGCGTTTTAAATTCCGAATTACCAGCTCTCTCACGATGTAGAGCTGTTTCTCAATTTAATAGCGGAACATACGACATTATAATAGCATCAGATGAAAAATCTTTAGAGGAAGTATGTATTACAAATTGCAGCTATGTAAATTGTGACTTTACTTTAAATATTTATATTTTCCAATATTCCTTTCAGCCTCACATAATCAAAGTTAAAAGAGGTAAACGAAAAAAAGATAAAGAATCTGGTGTAGCGCGTGGTATAGATTTTCAATTTGTGTCCAACGTAATTAATTTCGATTTTCCGCCGGACGTGAATTCTTACATTCATAGAGCCGGTCGTACTGCAAGAGGAAAAAATCAAGGAACAGCGTTAAGTTTTATATCAATACGAGAAAGACCTCTTCTCGAGCAAGTTGAATCAGAATTGAAACATTGTTATAATCGTGACGCATTATTCAAAACGTACCAATTCAAACTGGAAGAAGTCGAAGGTTTTAGGTATGTTGAATTTTAATATTTACTTTAGCATAAAATCAATACCTTTCTTTTTATTAGATATCGAGCAAAAGATGCTTGGAAAGCGGTAACGAGAATAGCAGTCCGTGAAGCTCGTTTAAAAGAAATAAAACAAGAGGTACTGAATTGTGACAAATTGAAAAGTTATTTTGAGGATAATCCAAGAGACTTGCAGTCATTAAGACAAGACAAAGCATTACATACTGTAAAATTGCAACCACACCTGAAAGACGTGCCCGAATATATAGTCCCACCTACTCTGAAAAGGCTTGTGGGTATCGGTAAAAGAAAACGGAAATTTAATAGAGATGCTGCAACATCTAAACCTACAGCTACGCAATTAAAATACAAAGCGCGTGCATCAAATCCTTTAATCAGTTTACAAATATAAAAACCCAAATAAAAATAGTACATCTATTTTTTCCTAATTTGTTTATTTTGTGTTACATATTGCTTATTATAAATAACAGTCTATAACTTCGTAAGCTTTCAATACATTTAAAATTGTACAAAGTTGTATATGAAAAATTATATCCTATCCAAATGAGTTTTAACATGTAATTTTAGAATATCATGATCTATGACTCCTTCACAGTTTGTTTTGATTTGTACTTTTTTCTAATACCATCGTTCAAGCCTTCACGGTTTCTGGCAAGTTCAATGGCATAAAATTGTATCCTAGTAATAAGTACACTATTTGCTTCAGAGTAATCTCCTTCACAATCAGCTCTTAACAGTGTACCAAAACAATAATCTTCTACAATTCCTTTGAACTGTTCACAAAATGGTCTCCATTTCATTTTTCCCTGGTCTGATTTTAATTCATCTTCGTTTATCTTATCTACCTTAAGGTCAGGGAAAACATCTCGAAAGGTTTTATAGATTTGATCATCGTGAGGGGTAAGTTTTAAAAACTTAGGATCAACCGAACATAAAATCTAAAATAAGAGGAAATTTAACATTTAGATCTTCAATTGCATAAAAATAAATTAACTGTCTTAAAATTTTGTTACATTGAAATAAACTTCAGCATGTTCCATGGCTTTGATTGCCCACATGGCTTCCACTGAGGGCTAAAAAAATGTACAAGAATTGTAATTACTTATACTCATGTATTTTATTAATTCATTTATAACTTACATCATTGTCAAATTCTTCTGCTGGTCTAGACAATACGCTGGAGCCAGCTAACAATTGATCTGCAGTCTTAAAAATTGCAAAAAATTATCAAACATGTTTATGTTAGAATGAAAACTGAATAATTTCAGGTAAAAGTAGATCAAAAGATATCATGAGTGAAATGAATGCCTTAACTATTTTAATTTCAATAATGTTCAATATGTTTTTGTTACAAAAGAAATAAATAACAGGTTAAGAATTCTTTTCACACACCAGAACATATAAAAGCAGTAAAAATATACTGTACTCACAACGTTCCCAATGCGAGCCATTTTTTGCTGTATAAAAAATAAACTGACGCAACAGAATTATCGAATGTTTCTTAAAATATTTTAAAAAATCTTAAACTAGGACTCGACTGTGGAATACACATGTCACGCCGCTAAAAAACACGTGCGACGCAACAAAGTAAAGTGACAATGAAAGTGGAACCAAACACAGCTGCTATTTCGATAAGACTGTCAGAATAAATATTTCGTTCTTGTTTTTAGAAAAAGTAACATTTAAGAAAATCTAAACATGGTTAGCACAGAAACCGAAGGTATCAATGAAAGGGTATTAAAATTGATAAATGATATTCTTTATGGGTGAGACTTTAAAATGTTCTAACCTTAATTGACTCAAATTTTTGTACCATTTTTTATAATGTTTATATTTTAGAGACATCAAAGGAACGTATAACATTGTTGTAGCGACTATATTGGTTTTGAAGGAAATTATAAACAACACAGAATGGACTACTGCAGAGTATTAATCACATTTTTTCCATATACATATATATAGGATGTATAAACCTAAGAAACATTCAATTAAAATTCAGTTTTTATAATTAGTAAATGATATAAATACATAAAGATGATATCATTATCGTTCATTGCACATTTTCTTATTATAGTAACTGTAACTTTTAATTTGGACAAGTGATCAAATTCAATTAAAAATTGCATAGTGCTTTTATAATTACAACATATTTCATGTATCCTTAGGTATATACAATCATCACCATATTAAATATTTATTAAGTAAGAACATATTGAATATATTATTGTAATTGCATATTTTTTATTTTAAAAGGAATTTGATACATATAATAACACGAAATGGAAAATACTTGATAGAAACAATTCCTTTAGAATTTTGTATTGGCAATATGGTTAGAAGAATATTGCAGATAATTAGGGAGGAATACACATTGGAATTGAAAAACAAAACTGAGGAAACAGACCCACAAGAATCATTGCACAAAATTCTCACTGCTGAGGGTGATCAACAAATTGACTTTAATGTTTCAGTGCCTTCCTTAAAATCAGCTCTTCTAGAGCATATCAGTGAATTTGAAGCTGAATTAGAAACCTGGTTAGTTATTATTGGACTATGGATGATTGTACATTTATCATATAACAATGTCAGAATGTTATTTTTATAATTTGTTTTATCATAACACATTTTACTTTTAGTGCAGAAAATATTACACAGCAAGCTTCTGAGCATATTCATTCTAATGAAATTATTTTGACTATTGGTAAATCAAAATTAGTTGAAGAATTTTTCAAAAAAGCTGCTACAACAAGAGCTTTTGAAGTTATAGTAGCTGAAGGTGGACCATCTTTAAATGTATGTATACATTGTACAGAACTATTTTTAGATACATAACACTCAACTGAATCATTCATTATTTATAGGGTCATGAAATGGCAATTAATCTCTCAAAAGCAAAAATTAAAACCACTTTAATATCGGATGTTGCAATTTTTGCAATGATGTCGCGCGTAAATAAAGTAATAATTGGTACACATACTGTAATGGCCAATGGAGGATTAAGAGCACTTTCTGGTTCACATACAGTTGCTCAAGCTGCAAAACATTACTCTGTTCCAGTAATGGTTTTGCTACCACTTTATAAGCTTTCTCCACTTTATCTCTGCTCACATGAACAAGATGGTTTCAACCAACATGTATCACCACTACAGGGTGTAATTAATAGTACTAATGCACCTTTATTAGAAAGGATTCATGTGTATAATCCTGTTTTTGATTATGTACCACCAGAATTAGTTACTCTGTTTATTTCAAATACGTAAGATTAAAAACTTTATGTCTTTTTGGCAATTGGTGTTATACATTAATGATGTAACACTGTTTTTGTTTCAGGGGCGGGAATGCGCCGTCATATATTTATAGATTACTCAGTGAATTGTATCACCCAGATGATTATGAATTGTAAAATATATATTTATAGCTTTCTCTAAACAATTAATAAATCGCTTATTACTTTTAAATGGTTTGTTAATTCGATATTCACACAATGCGATATATACAAATACATATAAATTTATTTTACAAAAAATATTCTAACAATCTCTTAAATTTAAATTATTTATTACTAATTGAAAATGACAACAATACATGATACACTTGTTCTTGATTTATATATGCAAAACTTGTTTCATTCATACATAAGGATTCCAATTACTACCATCCTCAGGTTGTAAAGAACCTGTGACTAATAAAATTATGTCAAACACCCACCACACTCCTACTCCACCCAATGTTAGCAATTTACTGACAGCTGTACCACTTTGTCCTAGACAAAATCGATCTGTACCCAGAAAACCTAATAATATGCTATATAGTAAAGTAGTAGCAAAATAGTGATCACTATATTTTATACAAGGAACTCCCTCACGAGTAAATGTTCTGTGACCGTAACATTCAATATCTGGTAATACGGTACAAGACACTTTAGTTTTTTCTACATCCTCGTATCTAGAACCTCCAAACTAAAAGTAAAATATTTAAGATTTTTAACTTACTTATATTGTATATACATTATATATAAATTTATTCCTATACAACAATACCTTTACACAACCAAATCCAGTTTCTTCTTTGGCAGTTTTATTACCTTTATGATCAATTGGTTCTTCACATTCTATAAATTCTTTTGGCCTACATACATTTATGTAACATTAGATTAATAAAACTAACAGTTCATTACAGTTTACTATGAAATCTTAAATCATATTAATACTTACAGAAATTTACACAACACCAAAGGTCCATCAGGTCTGTATTCCTGTTGAGAATCTGTAGTTTTGTTTATCAATCCTGAACATGTTTTTAGATCCCATGAAAGACAAACCAGAATTAAAACAGAATATTGTAACTTCATCTTATTCAGAGTAACATTTTGTGCTGCACTTCTACTCTTTGAATTTTATCAAAGTTCTCTGATAAAGTACATTTTTAATTACATTTATTCTATTATACTCTGTTCAATAAGAGACAGTAGTTATCATTATGACGTTTTTCTATTCGTTCTGCGCATGTTCGAGAACGCTTTCAAGTAATACACATGCGTGTACACACTCAGTGATCCAAATGATCAAGCTTCAAATTTCGAAAGCTTTATATGCTCAAATTTCTGAATTCCCTAAGTTTCAAACTTTTAAATTTACAAATTTATAAATTCTCAAATCCCTACATTTTCAGATTTCGAAATCGAATCACACTTAGTCTTCGTCTTTTCCTGTTACCAGTATATTTTATCTACCGTGTATAGGTGAGTCAAAATGGAAAATGTGTGGTAGTGGGGCAACACGAAATGGTGGGGACCCTTCTGAAGTTTGCCGAGTTGCGCGAAAAATCATCTCTCATCGAACAGAGTGTACGTGTTCTGTTGCACGGCAAATGCATTCGTATTCGAAGCTCTCTCAATAAACGAATAGGAAAACAGTTTGTACGGCATACACCAATCACAAAATGCTTTCTTTCGTTGCCTACAGTAATTCCAGAGACGCGCAGTGATTTCCGAATCAGTCGTCTGTCTGCCACGAAAGATTTTCAGTGTTGTCAAGGATCGGAGACGTGCGTTCTCGGTGCAAAGGTGTACACAGTGGTTGTATGGACAGTAAACAAAGTGATCGTGCATTACGTATCCGTGATACTTTTTTATCGAAGTGGTACATTTTGAAGCTTCGAAGTTTGTATATATGTACGGAAATATGCGCGAAAGGGAAGAATTTTGTCGAAGTTTTCCACCAGGACAACCAATCCAGGCACCGACGACACGGGCTCTGGGCCTTGACGCGCTGCATAGTCTTTGTAAAGAGATCTATCCCGACCAAAGCAATCCGCTCACTGTCACTGCAGTCGTAAAATATTGGTAAAAACTCCTCATTTAAAATCATTATAAAACACAACTGATTGTTGAAATATTTGATGTTTATGTTGTTGCGAAAAAATGATGTTTACTTTACATAGTCGTAACAAGAATTGCGTTATATTTTTAATTATATTAAGCATATTCGCATTATATTAAGTTTTAATTTTAAAAAATTATTAAATTATTTGAATACAAATTTTTATTGTATAACTGAATATGATAAATTTACCCTCGATCGGTATGAAATCGAAGAAAAACAGTTCTTTATTAAAAAGGTGGTTTTGGGCATTTTACTGTGTTTGGCCATGGAAGTCTTGCACCGAAAGGGAAGACGATTTATATTTAGCCACCCTTAGTCGCACATACATTTAACCGGATGTAAAACCAAATAACTGAAATTTTCTTTGCACCTTTGGTATAGGTTGGGGGGTCCCGATCCTTTGGACTACATAAGCATGTACGAAAATCCTGGCTGTCCTGAACTAGGTGTACCACCACACTGGCATTATATTAGGTGAGTTTTTTTTCTTCGTAGCAATTTATTTTATTGTACAAATGAATTTATTTATACTACAAATGACAATTTCCGAAGTGTCTAAAGAGCAAGTTCCGAATTGTGTAAAATAAAATTGAAAAAACCCTCCTCCTTAATTTGTGATTTTCACGGCGTGTCCTCTCAGGCTAGAATTATATTGCCATATACGAAAGGAAAATTTGTTTGATGGACACTTGATGTGTCTGTCATTGCTGCATATGACATTCTGGCTTGCATCGTTCATTCAGTAAAGACACCTCACATGCTTTTTTCTGTAGCGTAGAAAAGAGGGAAGAATCCAAGAGTTAAAAAAAAACGGGAAGTCGGGTATTCGTCAGTGTCATCCTGTTGAGTAGCAGGAGTGTGCCTCTGTTTGATGTAAGCGCATGTTATTTTTCCGACACACCCTTGATGACACGTGTATGTGGTACCCATTTCTGTCATTCGAAAATTTCACTTACCGTCGTGCCAGTAGTGCTTACCGACAATTCGATATATCGATAATAATTTAATTGTTCTTATTTCAAATTATTTTAAATTGGATTTGGATTTCAAACAAGAAGTAGATTTGAACAATCGAAATTATGTATCAGGTTAAGTTACATTAAGTTAGTTTAATATATCGATAATTGGTAGCATCGATGCTTTACCTTATACCAATAAAACATAGCCATATCGAAGTATCAATTTTACAATTTAATCTATCAAAAGTTTCGAAATATTTTTGTTAATTATTGTATGGTATCATCGATCGAAGAACTGAATTCGTTCGGAAATACGTACGTGTAGCGATTCACGCTGTCGAAAGACAAATGGATCCTCATTTCAGGAATCTCTTATTAAAAACTAGGCGCCGAATGACGAATGGTCTACCGCGAAAGGGTGTTTCTTTTCTTTTTTTTTGTAATACGTGACCCTTCCTTCTTCGGTCCAAAGCAGCTGTTCGAATAGTTCCCTCTTTTTTCTATATATAGAAAGTACAGGGTACAGGAAGATAAAGTCGTTTGAAGTGCGACGCGTCGGAAATAGACCTGTGGGACTTCCCCTTTTCCGTCTGTTCTATCTAAATATGTTCCCCCATTGACTAAGCCTAGACAATCTTTTTGAATCAAGTCTATAATTATTTTTACTCTGCTACTATTTTTTCTTATATTCTACTTGCACTCTCAGTTGTTTGTTTTTTAGAATAATGTAATGAAAATTCTCTGATTCAAGTTTGGGTTTGTCGGATCTACATGGAGATGGACGGATACATCCAAAAAGTGGACCTGGTCGTCCAAGTGGTTTTGGGTTTGAATTGACCTTCAGATTGGTCAGGGAAAGGAACGAGATGACTCCCCCTACATGGCCTGCCAATGTGATGCAGCAACTAGCCAAATATGTTTTCAATTCTGGTAACATGTTGTTGCCTGGTGACCATGTGTCGTGGCATGCTCCTTTGGATAATGGGAATGGTCGTATTACACAAATTTTGATGGGCAGAGATCCACAGTTACCAGTGTCTATATCTACTCCTCATGGTGATGTATGTTAGTCATTTATAATATAAACTTGTAACTATAATTCAGTTTTATTTGATAATGACTTGGTGTCAGAATCTTTGCAGTCTAACGGCATAGTAATAATATCATATACTGGATAATGTATTTTTAATATATTCATAGGTTTCCTTTGTTCAAATTGTGGGAGTTACTTCTGAAGAACTGTTAGCTGCACAACACTGGAATGGTTTAGGTCTTGTAAATTTGTTAAAGGCCAGTCGTGGTTGTGGACCATGGTTGGTGACAGATATGAGAAGAATACATTCTGTTATGGAGGATGATCCTTCCATAGCAGAGAAAATACAAATTGGTATAGAAAAAGAAGGTTCTAATTTAAGTGGTGTATCTGCCAAATGTTGGTAAGTATTCTACATTAATTTCTGAGTACTTAAATTCAGATCTGGGTCATGTATTATAGTAGCAGTTAATTTATAGGTGGGTACAAGTTAATAGTGATAGCAATATAGAAAAATACAGGGAGACAAGGAACGAATCAGATGAAGAAGAGGAAGACATAAAACCAATAATAAAGTCAGAAAGGTTGTCTCCCTGTGAGCAGGATATCAATTTGTCACATGAAAACTTGATTAAAGTTTTACCAGGACTTCATTTAACATTTAATCTTGAAGCTGGATCCCTGTTACCATTAGCAATCAAGTATATTCCTTTGCAGTAAATTGTAATTGATATGCATTGAAGATCAAATTGTAAATATAAGTTTTACAGGGGACGTGTGATGCATGGAAGGCATTTTACATTTAAATCCATACTATCTCATACGGCTATTACAATTGTTGCACCATCAGTTACTGGTACTCTAGTTTCTAGAGAAAAGCCATATGTAGTTCAAGGGCCATGGTTACAAGTATTACTTCCAGAAGACTTATCTGAAAGAATGGCTCAAGAGTTTCAAGTTCTAAATTCACCAAATCAGGTAATGAACGATGAAAATAATTTCATTTATTAATCATACAATAAGAATATTTTATTTTACAGATTCAGTTACCAAAAACATTTTCTTGGCCTGAATATAAACTAGTTATTACTGTCGTGAATGACTGAGAAATGGAGATTAGGGTGGCTAGAATTATCCAAAATTGATTCACGTTACACGTTTAACCAAGTTAGGATAAATTGACATAAGCAAAGTATTATCTAATGTTGATACGAAGCGAATTTCGACGAAGTTATTTATAATCGTGCGTATACGATTATCGTGTACACGATAGAACTGCAAGACTTTACGTATCAACGTGTAGAAGAAGAGGTAAACTATATTTAATACGCATCTATTTGTTAGCGGAACATAACCACAAAATATATTTTTTATCGATGACAATTTTTATACGCCTCTCTTTTACAAGTTGATGCTTGTTAACAATTTATATTTAATTATGTATATAATAGAACACGAAGTATAAAGTGTAATTGTATTTGATATACGAGTTTACACATTGTTACTTTATATAGAACGTTTTTGTAAATAGAGAATCTCACAAATCTGACATCATTTCGTGTCAGAGTCCTGTACCAATTTTTATATTAAAAAGAATATGTATAATAGAACAAAATATAAGAAATAATATTTATAAGATACAATTTATTTTTTCGTTTTCTTCGTACAAATTGTATTCATAGTACACGGTTCACGTTTGTAATCTTCCTTTTTTGAACCTATAGATCAGTAGGACTTTTACTGACACAAAAATACATATTTTTTAAAAGTGACTATTTACACAAATACAATTCTATTCTGTTCTCAAATTCTTACCTTCTGTTCTCTTTTATTCTAGTCACAAAGTTCCTCGTCCTTGGGAGTGATTTTGGCTCGCTTCTCATTACGCCTATTCACCCTTTTCCCTGCCCTTCTCCTGGGTGGACAAGTTCCTTGCTTGTATATCTCAAACTTGTTATTGCTCTTGTTCGCGTTCACGTTTGGTGTGCCAAACAGTCTGAACGTGTTTACTCGAGGGTTCTAGGAGATAGAAAGGACATTCATCGTGTGAATCAACGATGTTTTTAGTTAGTGCTCAAGTCGCCGCAGTAGACGGCGGACTTCGAATCTTTATTTAATCGTGATTTATCGGTAAGCTCAAATTAACGTGTGTGCGTGAATGTTCTAATTTATACGATTAAACATGTACGTTGTTCGTTAATGTAGTGTGGTGGACTCTGATAGAGGTAGCAGAGCAAAATGGTGGAGATTATACAGTTTATACAATACGAGTCTGCAGGTATGTTCATATTATGTTCAATATGTTGCTCAAAACAATTAAGGAACATTAACAAGTACATGTAAGGTTAGAGGAATTAATTTTTTAATTCAGAGAATTCCAGAATTTTATGACCCGCGTGCACTATTATAGTATGACGTTTTGAGCGATTTTAGTAAGTAGTAAAACTGTCGGATCAAAAACCAGATAATATTTGAAAGATTTAATTATATAAAATTAAGTGATTACCTGGTTTTTGTGCCACAGTCTTCCACTAAACCGGAACATACGTTTTTCGGCACTTCATCAAATGTGCTTATGAACGTTTTAAATCCTTGTCATTGTGTACCGTTTCTTGCTTCTAAAAATCACAGCGAGTTACTTGACCCGGTCTCGTGAAGGGCATTTTTGTTTAGTAACGTCAGTACCGTTGCAAATTTTAAACTACACAATACATATCAAATTATTCAATCATTTACTATTTCTTATATCCGTATCTTTATATTCACTATTGTTGAATGTAGGTTTTTTATGTTCATCATTGTTTCAATAGTGATATTTAAGTGACATATTTTAGTTTGACTAAATAGATAAAAAATATTAAAAATGCTGAGTGGTTATAATTAAAAATTCGCTTGATATTTATGAAACATCAATCCCATTTTATCCCAATGAAAAATTTACCCGTTGGAAAGCAAACGAGCGTATAAAGTTCCTACTCGGTAGAGCAAATTCCTCAGAAGTTTGAAAGCTCCTATCCAAAGAAACGCAACAATGCAAGCCGAGGCGAAGTCTTCGACCTCTTCGCAGGTGATCTTGCTGATGACATTAACGATCCCCCGAAAGATATTGGCAAACGTTTGCATGGCGTCGATACAGAGACCCATTAGGAAGCATATCACCTGGAAAATCAGGTTCATCACCGCTAGTATCAGCTCGATTATCCTCGTCAAGAAATCGAGAAAGATGTCGAGTAACTTTTCGAAGGTCTCACAGAGCCAGCAGGTTACTCGCGAGAAGAACTCGAGAAACTTTTGTGACGCGTTCAACACACGATTTCTCATGATTGATCTTTCCTTTCTGCCTCATTTGCGTAATTTATCTTTTCTGTGGCGCTTAATTTTATGAATGAACTTGCGTTTTAACGCATCGTCGATTCATTTCGACTGCAAATTCACGGACCTTTGCTCTTGTGTTTCTTATATTTTTTCCTCTGATTAGAACTAGCCTTTATCTTCTTGAACTTGCAACAGTCGGTTTTGTTTATTTGTAACACATTTTGTTTAGTCTAAGAATGTTGATTTTTGAGTGTGAACAGTTTGAGTTTTGTCGTGATGGCTTCTTCAATTTTTGAACTGATTTTATTGCAGACATAACTTTGCAATTTTATTCAAAAAATTGAATTTAAAAAATAAGATAACGTGAACATGATTTTTTGATGACAAATTGCAATTTCTGAAATTTCTTAGAAATTTCAAATTAATTTTGCGAGCTGTGAAAAGTACAACATGAAGGTTGAAGTATATTGAATTACAACTGAAAATGAGTTTTATTGAGTATTTTATATAATCAGCGTTAATCTCGCAAATACATGTCTCACTATCGTCAAGCATTGCTATAATCAGTAATACATGATAAAAGATAATAGTTACGTTCATAACGTATGCATAATTATAATGGCAGTTTCTGCTTCCTCTATTTGCAGACTATCAAATAGTATCAAATAGTGAGTTTCTTCGTATATCTGCATATTTGATATGAGAAATGTATATCTATATAATATTCGTTCGAGTATTCTAAATTTTATTTAATATATTAGATAAATACGATAAATTGCACGATCTTTAAGATATTTTCATCCCTTCATCTTTGGTCCACAGCTAATTGGTCGCGTTACTGTTTTAAATTCGAAGTGGTCCGTTGTTCGTTTTCTTTACTATGTACAATAATTGTCTATGGTTTTGTCGTTGATTATGCGTGGAATTCCCGTCAAATTAGCCCGACAAAGATCGATAAACTTAACAACACCAACGAAGCTACTTCAGGTGACGATCCATTGCAGGCGTCAGCGTCGTTGCAAGATTGTACGCAGCCTCGAACATATCTGAAAATAATAATTTAATCATTAGAAACTCCAGTTTTTAAGGTTGAACGAGACGAAGGTATAATTCGTTAAAATATAAATAAAATATTTATTGAGATCTTGCGTTTTTCACGAGAGTTGCGAACGTGTCAGGTTGTACTCTTGTGAAAAATTAAAGAACGTATTATTTTCATACTCACTTGTCGTCGAAGTAGAATCCTCCGCAATGAGACATTCTTACTATTTCTGAATCGGTCGTCAATGTTCCGCTATCTAGAGCGCAACTCCTCACCGTCAGTGAAACTCCAGATTCATCTAATTAATTATAATCAGTTATTGGTTAGAGTAACAAGTTTCCTTGTTAGAAAATTGGGGAACGTAGAAGACATGAACTCACATTGCATTTGATTCGATTTAATTTAAGAAAAATAATATAAATGTTAACTTGAAGCTTAAGTCTTAAAAGAATTGATTTACTATTATTTTATTAAGTAGCAGAAAATCAAAAATTGAAATTCAACGAAAGATTAAAGTGTAGCAGCAGAAAGTTTCAGATTAAAGTTAGCGAGTTTCATTCATAATTCATCAACTACTTCATCTTAATAAATTTGAACAAACCTCGATAAAGTATCCTAATTTTAATAGATTTAATCAGTAAAATATGGGTCCTGTGTTTATTACAAATTTTTTATAAACGAAAGTCATATATTTATGAATTAAAAGTTTCTGTACCCAAGCTGTCTAAATTCCAAAAAAAATTTGTGCATTTTATTCTCTATTTTCTTTGAAATCCACAAAACTCCCCGGAAGTTAATCAAACACAATTTTCTCATTGTTCCGAGTTGTGTGTTAACTTTTATTTTGCCCTACAAAAACCTCCGTCAACAAGCATGCCGCGTGCAGAAGAAGCATAGTGTATTCAGCGAACACACAGCGTCGAAGGGGGTTAAGGGCCACTCTAGATTACAAAAAGAGGAAAGTTTTACCGTATATGCCCGCTATTTTGATGCACGCAGTCGCGGGGAAAAGGCCATCGCGCCCTTTGCGACCTCCCAAGCAGGGTGACTCCAAGAATGCGAGACTTCCGTTGTTATGGAATGGGTCGTCGCAGGGTTTGTTGTCCCCGTCGATCGACACACACTTGAAACAGTCGATGGCCCAGCCTAATTAAACAAAAACAAATTAATCGATCGAACTTGAGGGTTGCTACTGGTTACGCAGGTTTCTTTCGAAAACTTGCGTTCACCTACTGCGCCCACAAAAACAAAAACGATCAAAGTTGAAAGATACATCCCATGAAAACACCCTTGCAAATTACACAGAATTAAAAATTAAAGAATTCGGTCGATAAAGCTTCCGCTCAATCTTCACGAGTGTCAAGTTCTCCAACATCTTCATCAGATTATTATAGGTTTTCTTCAGCAATCGTGGAATTTTTTCCGTGTCCAATTGACTTCGTTTCTGACAGACGCTCTTCACCCTCCAGGTCCGGGTTATTCACCTCAAGATGTGGTCACCCATTTCCGACCGAATGTACCAACATCTAACGAGGTTGCAAAGCAACGTAAATTGTTAATTGCACACTGTGCTCCACGTCAGAACAAAAGCAGATGAAGATCTTGGGTCAAGACTCACACCCGACTATCGATTTTGCTAAACGCGATACATGTTTAGCGCGTTGATTATAGTGTTGATCCGAAAACTGACCTTGCGATAAGAGGAGGAGAACGAGACCGAAATGGACGATCCAGCGGGACCTGACATCCATCTTTCCCCGAGAGTCGAGCGCTTTTCCCAGGATGAACGATCGTCTGGTCGCCGTCAGCTGCTAAATGCCCGAGGCTCCTCCGAGTCGAGTTCTTCCGACACGCTCATGTCAGACGGGAAAAACGATGTCGACCGAAGAGATCAACGTCTTCGGGGACGTGGATCGAACCGGATCGAGGTGGAACCCATGTAGATGTCGAGATTCCTCTTGTTTCTCGACGACGTCGACGACGCACCGCGTCCAGCTACCTTATGGCCAGTGTTTTGTTGGCTGGTTACCAAGGCGATGTATCGCCGCCTTTGATTCGGGGTTCTCTTTCGACAATTCGTACCTGGTCGATGATCTCCGAGCAATCAGTTAATACTTCTATTGTGGTTTACCTTCACATGGTGATGGCTGGATCTATCTGAAAATTTTAATATATCGACTAAAATTTGGCACTCGTTTGCAATGAAGACTTACAGGATAAGATTTAAATTTTAGGTCAGGGAAATTTGACATTGAAGGGTCAGTCGTTTCAAGGACGTAGGGAAGGTAGGGGGAGCATTGTCCCCTCTTCAGAAAATAATTAGTTTAAAGTGCAAATTAATTCCTGAAGTAATTTAGAAATCTGGTAATTTGCAAATTTCGATATTTCCAATTTTCGAATTTGGAAATGAACAAATTTAGATAAATTAAAAAATTTGTTAAATTCTCCTCTCACCCCTCTACTGTTAACCCGATTACATCCACGATTTTAGTAACAAAATGACCCAAACTTACAAAAAATGTATCACAATATACCAGATGTAATATCCCCCTCCAAAAAATGAAGAAAACTGTACTACAAAATTAGAAAAATAAGAATAAAATTTAGATTTTGAATCGTACGTTGGGTCGAGGATCCAGCTCCACCATGCGATGGTTAATGAGTTCTTTTGTTGAGTAACAATAAGTTGAGACCTAACTGGTATCTCCAAAGAGACTTTGCGGAATAAAACAGCAGACTGTAATAGCGTGATTCTGTTTCGCGATAAATGGTAAAATGCGAGGCCGTTACACGCGAATTGTGGGCGCAGTTGTGATATAAGTGCGTATAATTGGGACTTTGTGGTTCTGTGTTTGTGTGTGTGGATACATTAACACGTTGAGTTCTAATTATTAGTTATTTCCATCAAATGTTTGATACGTGCAATTTGATCGGAGAAAGTAGGTCTATTCAATTTTTCAAACGAAAAGATGAATGAAACGAGCAATCGTGAAAGTGGTCGTAGTAAAAAAGATGCAAAAAGTTATTTTATATTACGTAGATTTGTTATTCAATACTGTTATATGCAGATGGCGTACGCGCAGATATTTATGGATAGTTACTTTAACAGTTGTTTAATTTTTAAATATTCCAATTTGTAAAGTATCGATTTCTAAATTTTTTCTAAATTTCTATATTTCCATATTTTTAAATATCTATATTTCTAAATTTGTAAATATCTAAATTTCTGATCTCTAAATTAAAAAATCTTCGTACCTCTGACATCATCGTTCGCCAGTGCCAATAACCTCTTCGATGACCATTCGTCTGGCCATCACTGACTTCTACCACTTTCACGATCGCAATCACAATAATCAAAGTATCCATTTAAAAACAAATGTACAAAAAAGAATTCCACTGTCATTCGAATAACAGACTGTTCAATACACTGAAGTTGTGTATTGTATAAATTACGCGCAAGGAAGAAGATAACGAAGGGAAACGAATTTAAAATTTCGCGGGTCGCGCATGCGCAGGATCACGCGGGCCAATCACCTCGTTGCTTCGAAGCGGCCGTCCGTCTCTGTCGTAGCGACACTGCGGGTACACGATGTGATAGTATTTTTCAAAAAATGTGTCGGTCTCTCGCGCACTCATGCGTCCGTTTTTTCACGTGAGTCTACCGCGATCACTTTATCTCGTGGCTACCATCGCCGTCGGCACATGAATAATGGGCCAGTCGTCGAGCAACACCGGGCACAGCGGTGAGTGTCGATTTTTACGTCCGTATTCGTAATCGCGTGTTGTCGCTGGCTCGGACGTTTTTTCGAGTTGCACTGCACGCTTGACATGTGTCAACTGCGAGGGCTCTTGACTTTGCTGCCAGCTCCTGCGCAAGTTTCGTTGACTTTTTTCGTGGCATTGCGTCGTTTCCGATGCGAACCTTCTCGACGTGCTTGTGTTTTCCTTCAAACAATCCTAGTTTCTTTTCTACCTGGATGATCGCGGTCAATTTTGAGGTTATGTCAGTGGGTACACCGATGCAACCGCAACAGCGGAATCGTTTTGTCGTGTCATTACGTTACGATATATTATGATATTTCATAAATCTGTTTATCGAATGGTTCGTTCTTACTCTGGGAATATTTTGATATGTTTATTTGACCGACATCGATCCCCGATTTTCTTACTGCAGTGGTCGAATCTGCGCAAAACGATCGTTATCCTCGTAGCGTTCTTTTAAAATTCAATCGTACTGGAGATAGTCGGTTTTTTCACTTTCTTATCGTTGTTTGATTATTTATCGTTAAATCGTGTGCATTCGTGACGACGATACGAGCCAGTGCACTTGCATTAACCTTTTTTCTTTCGTTCTTTTTAAAACCGTTCCACTTGCGGCGAATTATCTAAATTTTTACGTAATTTTCCACAGATATCGAATCGTTCGAAGACAAATGAGAACGTATTGTTTATATGTAAATGAGGATCTAGAATGATCTGTATGGGTTTTGAATGATTTATTGTATGAAATAGAGGAGTAATAGTAATAGTAGAGATTCTTTTTATGTGATAACATGATATCTCTGATAAAATTTTCAGAAGTATTTTAATAAATAAATTAATGAATATGAGAAAATATTTTGTGGGAATTGTAATTGATTAATTCTATTGTTCATTTTTGAAAATATGAAATATTTATGCATTTTCAATCTTTATTGAAACCATCAACTTTCTTTATTACCGACAGTCGGTTTTCGTAAACGACTGCGCGTGGGCGACATCTGTCACGTGATCGGTCGGTAATGAAGGAACCATTTCCGTAAATATAAACAATAATAACAATATTTAATAAATATAATAATAACCCTTGCATTCTATTGCAAATATGCTACATAGAATGCATGGTACAATTTTTAGATTTTGACAAATATATTAATTATATATTGTACTACGATTTAAATTATATAAAATATTTTTTGTCTTTATGAGTTGCAAAATGTATTTATTACAGAAATTGAAAATGTCATAAATAAATATGGTATTAAATGATTAAATTATCGTTGTTAATTAGGTACTTTCTATTTAAGAATTAAAAGATATATTGTTAGTTGAATAATTGCTCAATTGAAAATTAAAATTTAATTTTTAATTAGTTTGTTAAATTAAATATTTATACATTTGAAATTAATTACAATTTAATAAATGATAGTACAATTGTAAAATAATTAGAATGACATTTCTAATTAATTATTACATTAACTTTCTTGAAAATTAAAATTAAAATTCTCATTTAACAAATTTAATTTTTATAGATGAAATTATTAGACCAAACTTAAAAAAAAATTAGATAACTATGAATAGAATTGTTTATATAGATACAATTATTCTTCTCTTTTTTTCTTAGTTAAACAATTAAACAATGAAATTTACACTGTTTGAATAGAAACACGTTGTCCAAATGTTTTCTCTGTTCAAACAAAACAGTTTTCATTAAAACCAACTAAATTTCACACCTCCACCCAATTATCCCAGAGTTCACAATAAAAGAAGCAAACAACAGACATGTTGCAATCAGTAGATTAATATAATAAACAACAGCTGGATGGTTCAGCAGACAAAACTAATGGTAAACGCTCAGTAAAATAATATTTTAAAATTGATTTAACGTGAGGATACTAAATACTTGTGTCTGAAAAATAAAGGGATGTATTTTTGAAAATTTATGTACAAATATTATTTATGTTGAATTTATATAAATTTAAATTTATAGATATAAATATTTGTACATATATTAACGTTAAATAATATTTTATAATATCAAAAGAAATTGTATTTCATATAGAAATGTATGAAATAATAGATTTTAAATTTTACTGCAATTACAATAAATTGACACTTATTTCTTTTTACAAAATTTGAACTTTTTCTATCATTATAATTTATTCAAAGAATTATGCAATATTTTTAGCAAATTAAATTGTTACAATTTCTGTATAATTATTTAATTGGTACAATTTCATTAGCAAGGGAAATAAAAGTTATGTAATTTTCTAGTGGCAATGACAATAAATTATTTCTTTTATTTAATTACAATAAACTACCTTACATATAAATTGCACTAAATTACCTCATATACTTAATTACAAAAAATTACCTTGTATATTTAATTACAGCAAATTACCTTACACATTTAATTACAACAAATCACCTTATCTACTTAATTACAAATTACCTTATATATTTAATTACAACAAATTGTCTTACATATTTATTTACAATAAATTACCTTATACATTTAATTACAATAAATTTCCTTATACATTAAATTACAATAAACTCAGAAAATTTTCTACCAACAGTCCCAAAAAAAGAGCTTGTGTCATCTATAAATTCCGCCACAAAATTCCCCAGATATTACGTACAAACACAATACAAATAATTCTAAAAATTTCTTTCCCTTCCGAAAGTCCCAAAAACCAAAGTTTACATAATTGTTAAAGTCCACCACAAAATTCCCCAGATGATACTCCTCAGAATATTGGAAATACCTAGTCACGCACTCTCGAACGATTTCAGCAAACAAATCGCGTTAATTAATCGCGAAATTACAAGAATCGCAAAGCTAGACGTTCCCCTACCGTGCAAATATTTTGCCAGCTGCGTTTCCCGTCGCGTCCTCCATGAGGAACACCTTTCGATTTCGTTTCGTATGGTCCGGCTTGCAAGATGGTCCGCGGCGCAGGTACGCGTACCTTTGGCGTGGGCCACAGATGTTATTGTCATATGGCAGACACACGGCCCACAGCTCCAAGCCGACTTTTCGTCAAACCGCGAACACAGGTCCACCGAAATCCTTCTGCGGTGGACACCCTCGTGCTATAACATTATCTAATCGATGTCACGCGACCGACATTCGCAGAACTGTTCGATTTAGGGGATGTTAGGACATCATTAACCCTTAATGGTCACGAAATGACCCAATTCAGCTTCACTAGCTTTTAAACTCAACTTTATGTCCAGAATATCGGATATCTTTTCTTAAACTTTGGTTTGGATTTTTCCTGAAATCTATGTTCAGCTGAAATTTTAGCTCTTTATATTGAAATTAAATGTCTAGACATACTGAATATCCTTAAATCATATTGCAGCAACTTTGGATTCTTAGTATTATAATTTTTGGATACATAGATGTTCATATTCTTGAGTCTCTAATATCATCAAATTGCAAGAACCTTATATTTTAAATAATAATCCTAACAATTATATAATAAAACTTACATTTGTAGATGTCCATATCCTTACATTCTAATCATCATCACATTGCAAGAATCTTATATTCCAAATGCCATAATTCTTATGTTCACATCTTCAAAACCCAAATATCCTATTACACCAACCATAGCTGTCTACATCCCTAAATGACAAATATGTGGACCTCCTGAATATTACCTAAATCTGAAGTATCTGTGAGTCCTGAATATTAGCAGATTGCAACAACGTTAGATTCGAAATACCGTCATCCTCAGGTCCATAGATGTCCACGTCCTTAGATTCCAAATATCATCAAATTGCAAGAACTTTATATTCCAAATGCCATAATTCTTATGTCTACATCCTCAAATTCCAAATATCTTATTACACCAACCATAGGTGTAAACATCCCTAAATCACAAATATGTAGACCTGAATATTCCTAAATCTGAAGTATCTGTGAGTCCTGAATATTAGCAGATTGCAACAACATTAGATTAGAAATACCATCATCCTTAGGTCTATAGACGTATCCTTAAATTCCAAATATCATCAGATTGCAAGAACCTCATGTACCAAATACCATAATCCTCAGATATTCATATCTTTTGATCCCAAATATCACCAGATGGCCTTATATTCCAAATACGATAATTCTTACGTCCGTATACGTCCACATCCTCAAATCCCAAATATCCCAACAACCATAAATACCAGAATCCAACCATAGACTTGAAATATTCATGCAGCCCGAATATCCGTGAACCTCCGTCCCTAGATTCAGTAGCGCGATAAAAAGTAGAGGAAAAGAAAAAAGAAGCTTTGAAGAAGTTGACCAAGTTTCATG